GGCAGGGGGAGGCAGGGCGAGGGGGACAGGCCACAAGGAGGACCTGTGCAGCTTTCAGGCCCACGGATGGAACACTCACTAAGTTAACTCTCTGTCAGCCTGCGGCCGCAGTCCCTGCAACTGCTAAGGGCATCTAGAGGGGGGAGTGAGGGCACAGGGGAAGAGCAGCAGCCTCAAGAGAAAAAGCTTTGCAGGAGCAGGAGTTCCTGAGTTCAAGCCCTGCCCCTGGCACCAGAGGCACATGGAACACATGAGAAAACCTGGGCTCCCAAGCAGAGGGGGAGGGGCCACAGCCTCGAGGGCCTCCCCATGCAGTGCTAGAACCCTCCGCGGACCCCAGGAGCCTTCCAGGATCACACAGGGTCCCCCTGACACCAGCGCCCATAGTCCGCACGGCGCGCTCCCCGGCCCGCAGGTGGCCAGGGGCCGCGGGCTGCAGAGCCGCTGTTGGGCTCAGGTCCCCGCACCTCCCAGGCAAAGCCTTTTGTCATTGGCGCCTTCCCTGCTCCGGGCAGTGCCAGTGGTTGCTGCCCTTGTGTCAGGCCACAGACTGTGGCTGTACTCCAGTGGACTGCTTAGCCAGCAGACCTCTGCGGTTGGCGTGGACCACCACGGCCGCGGGCTGGCTAACCGGCTGCCCAGGTGAAGGAAGATGGTGCCAGGGCCTTGGGCAGCACAGCCATGGGCAAGGAGAGAACGCTGCCTCCGGCCTTTGACTGGAGCGTCACCTGTCCCCCCAGGGCCGCTGCTAGCTTCTGTCCCCTCAGGCAACCACTGATGTCAGCGCTCACCGCAGGGCTGGCCGGGCAGGAGGCTGATTGGGCAGAGTGAAGGGTGAAAGATTGACCCCGCCCCATGTATCCCTGGTGCAATCCAACTTGAGCTGGGCTCTAAGCATTCCATTGTGAGGCTAGCCTGTCGAGAACTCTGAGACCCGGAAGGGCTCAGGGGTTGGAACGCCCCCTCCACCACACTCAGAAGGCTGAGAACTGGCTCCTGGAAAGGTCAGACAGACAAGGCAAGACAGAGGTATAAGGTACTACCCAAAGTGTATTTAAGTTAGAGCTGTTTGGAGACCATGGATGAGCGTCTGTGTTATGGTTAAATGTTTATCCCTTCCCTCTCTCCCTAACATAAGGGAGTCAATTATCACTACGTATACAAACTATACCCCATGTTAATGGTTATAACCACAACCGACTGATACCCGAGTTTCTGCCCATACCTGTAGTCTTCTCCTCTGTCTCCTTGCTCAGATCCCATAAAAGCCTAACTCCAACCCCACCTCCTCCTACAACCTCCATTCTTACCGAAGGTTGGTTTCCCCTCAAAAATCAGCTTCAATCATCAGTCCTGGCCTGCCGGGATCCAGTCCAGCCTGCTGCTTTTTCCTTCGATTTCCTAACAAAGGGGACCATGAAAACAGTATTATGGGGTTGCTGGTGCTGGCGGCTCACACCTGACATCCCAGCTACTCAGGAAGCTGAAATCTGAGGATCACAGTTCAAAGCCAACCTGGGGCAGGAAAGCCCATGAAGCTCATCTCCAAATAGCCATCAAAAGGCTGAAGTGGAGCTGTGGCTGTACCACTTGGTAGAGCACCAACCTTGAGCAAAAAAGCTAAAGGAAAGCGCCCCAGCATGCAAACACACACACACACACACACACACACACACACACACACACACACACACAGTGAGGGAAAGGACATACTGTTTAGAGCCAGTGTGACTTCCTCCTCTATTGAAAGCATGGAGACAAACAGGAAAAAGTAAAGCAGCCCCAGGGAAGAGGAGAGAAGGAAGAAGTCTCCTTGGCCTGGGCGGCCCAGATGAGCACAGTGAACGCTCCCTGCATGGACTACACAGTGGTCCCGCAGGGCTGCTCCCTGCAAGTGGGGTGGTGACCTGAGGTGGCGTTGTTTGGTGATGCCATGACCTTGGGCCGCTCCAGGGCTCATGGCTGGCTGCCCTTCCGCTGTGTGTCAGGACAGTCCACTGGTGACCAGGTAGGCCCGGGATGGCTGGGACGGTGGCCAGAGCACACCAGGCCCACCTCCCACACACCAGGCCCACCTCCCACACCAGACCCACCTCCCACACCAGACCCACCTCCCACACCAGACCCACCTCCCACACCAGACCCACCTCCCACACCAGGCCCACCTCCCACCTCACACACCAGGCCCACCCCACACACCAGACCCACCTCCCACACCAGACCCACCTCCCACACCAGACCCACCTCACACACCAGACCCACCTCCCATACCAGACCCACCTCCCACACCAGACCCACCCCACACACCAGACCCACCTCCCACACCAGACCCACCTCCCACCCAGGAAACCCCGCGGCCTGCTGCTCTCCATTCCCATGAGCTCATGGGCACAGCGTCCTGTGCAGGAGGAAATGGCTTGGGCCTAGGGCTGCGGCTTCTGGGCTGACGCCATGACATGGGCCCAAGAATGAGGATTAGCTTTCTGCCCTGTGTGAAGCTCCTGGGGGTACCTGCTTCCTTCTGCCCTGTGTGAAGGCTCATGGAGGCACCCTGTTTCCTTCTGCCTGGAAGTCATGACCACTCCAGAGACACCCCCACCACCACCCCGCTTCTGCCCAGGAGTCATCACCACCGCAGAGACCCCGCTTCTCCTAGAAGTCATGAGTCTACACAGAGACCCCACTTCTACCTGCCCCCAGGCTCTGTGAGCTGTGAGTTCCTTGCTACGCCCTGCCCTCCTCCAGAGAAAGCCGCTCTGAGCTGGGGCCACAGGCGCAGGGCTGCTGAGGCCCTTGGGGACCGGGTGTCACAGCCACACTGCGTCATCCACAGGCTAGGCTTCCCGGCGGCCATGCCAGCCAGCACCAAAACCAATTGGGTTGGGGCCTTCTGCACAGCCTGTGACCACCAGAGCGTCTGTTATCTGGGAAAAATTGACTATTTTCACACGGCAGCAGCTCCCATTCCCAGCCGCAGTGCTCCACACTGGGGGGAGGGGGGAGAGGTCACCGAGTGCGACAGACCAGCTCGGCCCGAGCACTGGGTGACGGGACAGGGA